TAAAAAATCATTTTTAGAGAAAAGTCCTCAAACCCTGCTTGTTTCGCTAAACAATGTTGTGACAAAGTCATGCGTACTCACATTTAATTAGACAAACGTTGTGATTAGAGTACACTGCATAAATAAATTTTGTGTATAATCATATACTTTATTTAGAAATATGTGTGAACAGCTCAATCTTAAAGCACAAAATGTTTACAGTTAAATTAGAAAACTAACAAAAATGCTTAAATTTGTTCAGGCTGCCACGTTGATGCACATTGTGTAGATAAACAAAAAGTTTAAAAAATGTAGTTGTAAGCAAAAAATAAATATAACGAAATAAAAGAAACAAAGACTCGCAAACAATTAATATGAGGAAACGTGTTTTTGGCTTGCACACAAAACAGTTTGACAGTCCGATTAAAATGAATGCTAGAAGTTGAGACACTGAATTAAACATTGTTGCGCACAAGTAAAGTGTCTCTATTTTATGTTTTAGCAAATCGGTCAGTCATTGTTAGTGCTGAAAAAGAAGGATTTGAAAAGAAAGTAGCAAAAAAGGTGTAGGACTAAAGTTATGGCCACTGGGGCAAAAAAAGAAGGAGGTGTGTGAAAAAGACTGCAGTTAACTTGCTCTGGCTTCATTTGTTTTTGCAGCAGATGTGGACACTTTACTACACTATTCAATGTACTCCAGTTCAAACTGAGCAATCACCGACTCGGGAATTGAGGTCATGTACGTCGGCATCTCCAGCTCCTCGTGTTTGCTCATCTTGGTGCGCTGTTGCAACTTGTAATGATTAATAATGTCCTGATCTGCTGGACAGGACTGCTTGAAGGCATCCAGGTTGTACATGTGGTACATGTAGCGCCACAGGTGTGCAAAGTCTTCGGGAATTTCAAAATCCACAAAATACTTGCCTGAAAAAGAAGCAAAGAAAACACAACAAATTAGTTTACATAAAATCACTTATTAGGCAGTGCAAAAAAGTGCTTACCAGCTACTCGAATGTGCTGAAGTCGAGTCATCAGCTCGCAGTCAAAGCAGCACAGAGTGTCGCCGGTGAGAAAGCGAGTGTCTCGTTTGGCAAGATGCTGGTCAATCTTTCGCAGGCGGTTCATGAACGCCGTCATCGAAGTCGAGTTGACGTCCTTCTTAGCAAGCATCAGCTTGAATTTCTACGCAACACAAACAATAAAAATTAAAGTAATGGCAACATTTAAGCGAACAGTATTTGATATTTTGACAACACAGTGTGCCGCAGTGCACTTTTTTTCTGTGGCAGCCCGCCGTGTGTTGCGCAACAAAATTGACTCACAGTGTAGATGTCCTCAATGACCACTGAAGTTTCCTTGTCGGAGACAAAGAGGTTGTGTCCACCTGGAATGCTTTTCATGATGTAGCGCTCAATTTTGTCATTTTCAAGGACCGCCTCGCCTCGATCAATCAAAATGGGCGGCGGCGTTGAGTCGAATTTTGAGCGGAAATCCGGCGGCGGCTTGAGCATGTCTACGGTGGTCACCTTCAACGAGATGGTTTTCAACTCCGCCAGCAGGTAGAGGTCCATGAAGTACTCCTGACAGAAGAGACAGGCGCCCTTTCGACGGCCATCGATTGTTGAAGCCTATTGAGACGAGGGAGGGAAGGAAGAGAGCAATAAAAAAGGGGGAAAGATTAGAAGAAAGAAGAAAGTAAAGAAAAAGCCGCTTGTGTGCCATTAGCGTGTCAATTTAATGCGGTAATTACAGACTGCAGCAGCCATGAGCGCAAAGTAGTAATAGTACAATGACGCAACTGGGAAGGCTATTGACGTTAAAGAGCATCATCAGCAGTAATAATAATAATAAGTACATTGGACAGTGCTGAACAATGCTGCATACAGTAGTAAAGTTTGTCAAGGTGACAAGCAACGGGTGACACCACCTTCATCAACACCACTTCCATCACTTTTATTGCGTTAGGCCACACACAGAGTGCAAAGACAGGTGGTATTAACCAGCACTAGCAGCAGCAACAACAACATCTTAATTGGAGCAGTTTCTGCTGTCAACTGTGCACAACTGCGTACTTAGGCTGTCATTACCGGCGTCACACTACTTTTGCCACCGCCACCATCTCCTCCAAGTGAACAACTGCCAGGCAACAGCTTGCACTTGTCTTGGTCAGTTCACACCTCTCTCAGTTCACCACCACTAACTTTTGATGCAGAAATGAGCAATCAGTATGCGGTAATCTAGACTAATCAACACTTTAAGGGAGAGAGAAAGCCTCAGAGAAATGAAGGAGCCATGAAAGTTCACAAAACTCGTCACACGTGTTCTCATCGTCGGTGCAATTGTCACAGTCTCGTTCAGTGCAATGTGGCCCACGCACTGCTGCTACTGTCCTGCACAATCAGTGGACGATGGTCATGTTCACAGCACAGCACACACAGCACACTATTGTTGTCAAAAGAGTGCACAAAAAGAAGAAAAAGAAAAGGAGGATGATAACTAGAGAACCGCAAACACGCACTAGAAGCATCAACAGCATCAACAAAAAAGGAGGAGGATGCACTCTGCAAACAACAGCAGCAGACTAACAATGCTCAAGTCTGGCTGGTCAGTCTCTTAGAAAGAGAAGTGACTATTATTAGCCAGACTAGTTAAAGTGCGCACCGTTGCGGCTACTGTTCAATGGTCAGCTAATCAGTTAATATTTTAGTAAGGTGCAATTAGAACAGTGCAGCTGCAGCTTTTGTTGCTGAACTGAGCAAAGCCAGACAGTCAAACAACAAAGGGAGTAGCTGCCTGCAAAGAGAAACAGAAAGAGCTGCTGCACTATTGTCACTATTGTACGGTTTTGGTTGTTGTTGATTTTGTTCACCTGTTGTTCTGCTGCCTTGCCGCAAAACCGAAAAGCAGAAAAGCGTCACTACTACTGCTACTCAACTCAGGGCACTGTTGTTGAGCAAACAGTGTCTTACTTAGGTCACCTTAGTTTGAATCAAACTGACAAACACCACTGCTTACACTCTGTCTGGCTGTCTGCTTGTCTGTGTGAAGTAATCGAAACACACACACAGACAGAGTAGTTTTCTATTGGGAAAACGCGTCAACTTGTGTGAAAAAGTTAGTGTAGCGAAAGCATAAAAGGCATAGAAGAACGTGAATGGGATGCCTGCAGAGGCATCCGAATGTACAAACAACCGAAATGACAACACTAGACAAATTGAATCGGACAGTGGCGGTGTGGTGTGGTGGTGCCATTGAAAGCCCAAGTGCACTCATATTTCTCTTTTAAGGGGAGAGCTTCTCCTCTGAAGCAGCGAAGACTGACTGACTGTCAACAGGCAGTCGATTGAATGTTGCTCGCCCGCAGTTTGCCGACACTACACAAATGTGTGTGCGGAAGGAAAGCGGCATTGCACGCCGCTCAAGTAACTACCAACTGCAAACAGACACATACACACAAAAACATAGACAAACAGACACAAATGCGGTGGCTCGTGATCATGTCCAACACTGATCATCACAGCTTTGCTGGTCGTGGTGGTGATCGTGGTGGTGGTGGTGATGATGGCTACCGGCGTTTCATCGATCCACCTGACAGTCTCAGTCAGTTTCAGACAATGAGTAGTAGTACGGCACTGGACAGTACCGGTTTGACAGGACAAGAGAGAGAAAGAGAGAAAAACAAAGTTAGACAAATAAAACCGGTAATGGCGACCCTTTGGGCAACTCTATGATAGCTGATGATGGTGGCCAGTTCGTCAACAACGGTTTGGCCGTTTTTCTGTTTAAGAAAGTATCACAAAGGGACTTATATGCTTTACTCTTGACTCGGTATTAATTAACGGCCAGCAATTGTCTGGCACTTGCAATTGAGCACTGCCATTAATTGACTATTCTTTAGTCTTTTTTTCAGATTGATTGATAGACAGACAGACAAACCGATTGACTGACTGACTGACTGACTAGGCTATATCATCATTCGACAATTTTGCCCATCCACTACATTACACACTGGCAGATCAATTAGCCAATTGCTAGAACTGCTGGAATGTTCAACATTAGCCTGATGGATTGGCAAAACACTGAGTTGTTGGCGTCAATTTGACGGCCGCATTTTTGTTTCACGCACATCACATCACATCACACACACACTTTTACTTGGTTGATGTCGATCAATTAAAAAAATGAAGTTGATCCTAGTAGAGAGAGAGAGAGAGAGAGAAACTGTCAAAAAACTTTGCCATAGAGCTAGATACATGAGGGCTGTAGTGGTGCTCAAAGTCTACATCAGCAGCAGCATCATCATCATTATCCTTCAGAAAAAAATTGTATAAAAGTTGTGTGCACTACTCGACAGCGGCGGATGACCTGCACAATACTGCCTGCGATGTTGAAGATTTTAGCTAGCCTAATAATGTGCAGTTGGAGTAATGTATATTAGCCGTTTTAGTATCTGCACGGGGCAGTGCGTACTGTCAGGTGAAATATGATGGCCAGTGAGAAGCAGAAGCAGAGTGGACAAAGGGAAGTGAATCAGAGGATGATTAACATGCCAGCGGGCAGTTCATGTGTGCGTGGTGATGGGAAGAAAAGTGAATGTGTGTGTGTGTGCTACTTAGAGCGCCAAGGCACTGGCACGAGCAGTACACTGGCCAGCTCGCGCCCAAAAGTGCCACCATCAAGCGGCGATGAGACGTTGAAACGTTGAGACTCACTCACTCACACACACTTCACTCATCAATCACTACCAAGCAATGCGCCGTGATCCAGCCCGAGTCACTTAGTTAGTTAGCGGCTACTTCTTGCACAGACCTCTGCTACTACTACACCAGTAGTTTATACGGGACAGCAACTTTTGCACACGCACACAAATGGCAGCGAGAGTTAGCAGCAACCGCACTACTACTGCTAAAGTTGAAGTTTACCGTTAGCATCTAGCTACGGTCAACTGTGGCAGTGTTCTCAACGTCTTTTGCTTTGCTTTTCTTTTTTCCACTCACTTTTTCTTTTGCTGCTTTGTCTGCCACCGTACCTGTTGCTGTTGTTGCATTATGGCGGCAAAGTCTCAAAACGGACACACACTGTGTGTTGTGTGTTTGTGTTGGCGGTGGCAGTGCTGTTGCTGCAGTTGTTGCTGGTGGCAATTCCTACAGTCGCCCACAACAGTTTTTTTTCGTTTCATCCCCATCACTCGATGACTTGGTGTTTGTTTGTACTGTATTTTCTAAATGTACGACAACAAAAACAACGAGCATAACTGCCGCAATGACGACTTCCACGACAACGACTGTCATGTGTGTGTGTGTGTGCCAGCCTTGTGACGCTAAAAAACTTCAAGTCAAATCGCTAGCTAAACTTGCCCGAACTAGTGTCGGCAGCTTGGGCGATTTGTGCACAGCTGACCTACAACCGGAGAACCTTAAATGGCAGCCAGTGATGTGTGTGTGTGAGAGTGTTTGTTTTCCGTCAAGTGTACTTTTTCATGCAAAAGGGGTAAACTTTTCTACTTTTGCCATTTACTGCTAATTTTTGTTTGGCATACACTTAACACTATGTGTGTTAGGTTTATGCATTAATTGAAAAAAACATGGCGCTCTTACTTGATATGCAAAAACAAATTGTGTGCAAACAGATGAAGTGACCATTTGAGCATTGGCGGCTAATTGCAGTCATTTAGCGTAACCATGTGGTTATTGCTGTTGTTGCCAGAGTTTTTTCGTTGTAGTTGTTGAAGTTTCTATTCTGTGGTGTTGCAGCAGCAGTGCTGACAGGCAAAAGCAAACAGTGCTGCTGCTGCAGATGTCTGCTTATGTCTGTTTATTTGTCCCATTGTTTGCCGTTCAAATTAAAATATGGCATTGCAGTGAACCTGTGTGTTTTGCGCCCGACCATCAAAAGCTGAAACAGCAACAAGTTCAAGAATAGACGCCCAGTTGGTGGTTGTCACATCGCCTATTCAGCGATACTTGCCAAAAATGGTCAAATCTGAGGTGTATGCTTTCTGTGTGTGTTTAAGTTTTTGTCAATTGAGCATTCAACAGCAGCAGAAGTTTTCTCAATGACTCAGTAAAGCAGTTGAAACTGTTGATCAGTAGTAGAAGAGAACAAAAAAGTAAAAAACCGGCAGTAGAGCACTGCACGACTGATTGGTTCTCTTTCATTGTGACTTGGGTGTATTTGCCCAATTTCATGCTTCGATTAGTTTTTCTTTTCTCCTTTTTCAGTTTCACTCAGACATTGCAGGCAGTGTGAATTGGAAACTAGTAAAAAAGGTTAAGGAAAGTGGCAAGCAAAGGAAGCAATCGATTAGAGCTCTCAGTTATCACAAAAACACAGCGCTACAGCGTTCTCAGTGCAATTACGCCGGCAACGAAAGTTGCCAGCCAAATGTGCAAAAAAAGTTGATCTGACTGTGAGTGTGTTGTTAACCGAAACTGTATCTGTGTGTACTAAACTGCCATGTGCAACAAAAAACTAGATTAAACAGGAAACAAATGTTAAAAAATGCGCGTCTAGAATCCTGTCAAACAGAGCAAAAATAAAGCCAAACACTAAAATCAGTTTTAGTGTAAAAAACTAAAAAATGAGAAAAATTTGAAATAAACAATCAATTAAAAAAATATGATTTGTCATGTACCAAAAACGGTCGAAAAACGGCAGTTTTACAGTTTGACGTCACATGAGAAAGTGACGCTAAACCAAGACAGTTAAAGTGGGCTGATGATGATGATGATGATGATGAGGCATTGATGTCTATGATTTGACAAAAAAATCAGCAAAGTTTGCAACAGCAGCTGCTTGTTTCTATGCAAGCAATTTAGGTTATTATTTACGTTTACAAAAAGTAATTACATAAAAAGAAAACAAAAAAGCAAACTTTTGAGAGGGGGTAAATTGGTCAGCTGCAGCAAACATGTGCTAATTGGCTTTATTCAGGCATTATAACATCAAGCAGTAAAGATGAGCGCAAGAATCAACAGTACACTCAAAGTAAACTGACTGCTAAAGCACACACTGCACAAAGGCAGTGGAAAAAGAAGAAAAAAGTGCTCTGCTGTTGCTAAAGCAGTTTGCTGCGTATTCAAAGACGACGACGAATGCAAATGGCAAACAGCAAACAACAATTGCCCAGTAAATGGCATGCTGAAAAGCAGCAGCAACAAAAGGTAGAGTGCCACTTTGCTGACAATAGTTGCATCTCGGCGAGTGGCACTCACTTAGCTGACCGTTTCAGTCAGTAGTAGAAGTAGTTTGCCGCATTGTCCGATTGATTTCACTGACAACTGGTCAGGCCAGGCATTTGATGATTCACACAGGTGCCCGGTTACACAGTTTGTCTACATTTAAAGTCGGCGCAGTGGTAAAAATCAGCGTTTTTAAAATTTGTTGGCATAATATTGCCTGTTGCACTGCTCAGTGTGTGTGTTTTCTCAAAGTAGTGAATGGCATCTTTTGAAGGTCACAGCCATCTGTCAAATGATATGACTGTCGCTCTGGTAACTCTTATTCAGTTACTGGACACTGAGCACCAGCATTGCAATGCACACACATACACACTCGCTCACTCAATCACTCGCTCACAAAAACTTATTAGACTTGCACATTAAACAGTGAACCAACACCAGTCGGTGTAATTGCCGCCAATCGGTCAATGCTAATGATTCATTACTGCTTCAGCCTCCACTGATAACGTGAAGGACACAGTGCTCTACTTTGAAAAGAGACGCAACACTTGCTTTCTTTCTTCTGCTGGCTGCTCAAATGTCACCCTTAATGGGAAAAAGAAAGAAAAAAGCAGTCCGCTAAAAAGTGTGTGCAGAAAACCGATAAACAAAAGAATGGCGCCTTCAGATGTGCAATGCCACTGACAAAATGCTGTACAGGTGATCTCAAGGGAAACTCTCTTTTTCTTTCTGCTCTTAATCTGCCCCACACAGTCAAACGATTGTGACACCCAACTGATCAGATTGGAGTGAGTGTGTATGTATGTCTAACGAGGAAGCAAACTGAGCGAGGCGGAAACCAACCAAATGAAAGAAACAGAGAGAGAGAGAGAGTTGACCGCGCAGCACAGTCTAGTCAGTGCTGTTGTTGTTATTGTTAACTTTGCCTGCAAAGTTGACGATGATGCCGAGGTGCACGTATCAGCAGAGACACACACACACACAACAACCAATCGATTGGTGGTAATAGTGGGCCGCCCGCTCACTGATCAAGTCATTGGCAACAGCAGTCAACTGGGGGGCGCCTGACAAATGAACTTCTTCTCAGCACACAATGGGCAACCACTGCAGTTAACGCCGCCAATGTGTGTCTGATGTTGTTGAATGAGTATGTGATTGTTTCTGTTAAATTTACTTTCACTCACTCATTTAGCCAGTGCAGTGCAGCCTAGAAGCAGTCAATTAATTGCCCACTTGCCCGCTTGTCATTGCCCACTGGCTGGCTGCTGGCTGGCAAATATTATGGTGTTTTGTGTCAGTGAGATGTTGTAAACAAGCTCACTGCTACGTTTACGGGCAACAAGCAGGTTCATTTGTCATGAAAAAGAAGAAGAAGAGGGAAATGATCATGTTTTTTTGCCGCCTTCCAACACAGTCAATCGCGCCCACTTTGATGACAATGAGGACAGCGCTTTGCTGCCTTTTCTCTGCTGCACTCCTCTACTTTGCCTCTCAATTAATTGGGCCAATTAACACATTGTGGCTGTGTAGATGATGATTATGAAGGTAATGATGATTAAGATAGTGTACCTTAAAACGACAGTTAGGGCACCTTGTAGAGCAGGCAGGTTGTAAAAGCAACGACCAAAAATTACTGTCAAGAATCGTGCAGTTGGCTAATGAAAATGCAAATGCATTTGGACGACTATTCTAAAGAAATTGAGTTGATCTGATCTTTAAGCGACCTTGACCAAACATACTACAATTCTAACTTTAAATGTTTTCTAAACTAGCTAAAAATGCGTGCAGCTTGTTTGACGAAAACTACCTGTTGCACATTGGTTACTAGAATCAGTCAGTTCAACGCACAACAAAACCGACACATATCTAAATGCAAAACAATAGACAGAGTTCTAATAAACAGACAAACATTTGTTTTTATTGAGGAAGACGTTATTTTAATTACCGCTTGTCAGCAATTTTTTGTCAGCAAATCAGTCAACTTTAGTGCATACAACTTTCAAGTTACAAAAGAAAAGTAAAATGCTATTTGTTTGAACTACAGGTATATAACATCATTGTCAAGTTAATGTCATTTGGGCAGCGGCATTTGTGTTGACAGTGTAGATCTAAAATGCATTACAGCAGTGCGTTGATTCGCTCGTCTCCAGGAAAGTAATGGCTGATAGGAATTTAGTGACTGCTCACTAGGCAATAATCGGAAATGATTGCAAGGCTGTGTGTCTGCGAGTGCTGACAACGGCTGATGCTAAAACAGACAATGCTGACAACGACTTTGGCAGACACACACGTACACACTTAAACACACACACACACTTTTGCTAGTTAATGAAAGTAGAGGTCTGTCTAGCAGACCTATGAGCATCCAAACTCGAGGAATGTCGGCTACGTAACGGATTTTGAAGATTAAACATATGCGCGCACACACACATACAATGCCATTAGATGGTAATTACACCTGACAATTTCCTATGGCAGTGCTAGTGCTGGAGACATTAGGTACACTTGCAAAGCATGTATTGATGAAGTTGGTCACACAACAAAAGTGTGACACACCAGAACCGACTACAAACAAATGAAGTGAACAGAACAAAACTAAACTGAAACAGGCAAATTGTCATTATTGTTTTAGTTTAGCTTACCAGCAACAGATATCTAGTTGCCAGTCTAATTGGCTTCTATCTTTAACATGCTTTTTATGAGCTCTTTTTCTCCCTCTCTTTCTTTAGCTTCAAGTCCGGTTGAGTGAAGGCATCCGCTCGTTGGGTGCCACCTCACCTAGTCGGTGTCGGCGGCGGCTTCTTTGCTGTTGAAAGAGCAGCAGCAGCATTACTTTGGTGTGATCACACTAGGCTAATGACTAAACGAAGACGTCTGTGTGCCAGGCACCAGTCTCTTCACTGCAACTTGACTGCAGATTGCAGACTACAGACGGAGTTTCTAATCTGAGACTGATTATCACTAGCAGCAACAGCAACAACAACAGCAGCAGCAGCTTAGGCGTCAGGCGAACGCGAGAACAGCTCAGAAGGACTAGACTAGATCAGCAGGACAAGAGACAAGACAGGAGAGGACAGAGAAGAGCACAAAACTGAAGAGGGCAAATGAGCAAATGAGCAGCAGCAGCAGCAACAAGAAGAGCAGTAGTAAAAACAATGCTCAATTAGCAACTCACATCTCAGCACCCAGTGCTCCTGCTTGTTTACTGCTGATGACGATGGTGCTGCTGCTGCTGTTGCTAATGATGTTTGAAAGAAAAATGAGCAAAGATTCAACTTTACATGTTCCTCCTCATGTAACTAATGTTGTACTGAGGAAAGGTTTTCTCAAACAACTTGACTAACTGTGTCTTTGTGTTGCAAAGAAGTGTAACAACAAAAAGAAGGCACCTACCCTGATGATGAGTTCAATTTCGGGAATGTCATCGGCGACGTCCGTGCCCAGACTGCTGTCTGCCGTGCTGTTGACGGTGGTGTTCGAGGAGGAGGCGTCGTCGGGCGTCGAGTCCTCGTAGCTGTTGCCGTTGCTGCTGTGCTGTTCGTAGTCGGCCATGGCTGCTGGTGTTGCTGAAAAGGAGCAAAGTAGAAAACGACTGGAGGGTGATTTGGCGGCGGATGTGCTTGTGGTTGAGAACGACGCAAATGTGGCTAACCAAATTGGGTTGTGGTAGTCTGTGCAGAGAAAGAAAGAGACAAATAGTTAGGAAAAATGGCTAACACGAGGTTGAAATTGTGGTGATCAAGTGAAGCACACACACGCCGACAGAGGGAAACGAATGAGAAGGAGAACAAATGGGCAGTTGCAAAAGCAGTGAGAGAGAGAGAGAGAGAGAGAGAGCATACAAACAAAGTGACAGGACAATATTGATTTAGACTGACGGTTTGCTGGTGGCGGTGGCGGTGGTGCTGGTAAATCTAGTCTCCAGCAGTGCTAGTGCAAACAGAATATATGGTCGTTGGTCACTTGCTCACTCGCTCACTCACTCGCTCGCTCATTCGTTGTCACACAGTCACACTGAACAACCGTGAACACTGTCAACTGGTTGCGATGCACTGAGCTGGTTCCCTCAGTTTAAGCTGCTGCTGTTGCTGAGCTAAGCTGAGCAACAAATTGGCGTGGCAGAAACGGTTTGGGCACTGTGACTCGCCTCACTGGTACGGTGACGGTGTGTGCAAGTGTGCAAGTGTCTGTCTGTGTCTGTCTGTGCCGGCAATGGAAGGCGTATGTTGACGACCAGCACTGTTTTGTAGTCTGTGTGTGTGTGTGTTGGTCGTCTCCTCACCGGCACCAAAAGGCAACGGTTACAGAGGTAGCACCAGCAGCAACAGCACCGTTTTCACTGCACTCTTCCGTTGAAACGAGAGGCACACAAAAGGCAATAAAGCGACACTCAGAGGAGTACTATTAAATTAGTAATATAATTGGAGAATGTGATAACAGGGAAAGTGAGAAGAAGAGAGAGAGAGAGAATGGAATTGAGATCGAAATGCTGACACACACTCAGCAGTTTAACAGTTGCAGTTGCAACGACCAAGTTTGCACTGAGTTAACACTTATTCAGTAGGAGGGGTGATTTTAGTTTCAGTTATTATTGGGGTAGCACTTAGCAGAACAAATAAACAGCCAATAAAACACAAAATAAAATGATGAGAAACCGCCACACACAGTCGGCGCAAAACGTGAATGGCAAAAATGTTTTACTAAACAACCTAAAAAACTGTAAACGACCACACGCAACACAAAGTTTTTTTGTTTGTAGTCGCGTAACCGTCGCGCCGTTGAACTAACACAAATGCAAATTACCAGTGCAGCAAGGTCCTGCTGTGCTATGGCAGTGAAAAGAGGCAAACTAGCAAACTGTGCTGAAAAAGCACTGACCAACTAAATAACTTGCCAGACAGGTACACTTTTTTATCCTTTTCTCTTTTGTACTTTCAGCGGTGTGCATCAGTGCGCCCAATTGAGCCGAGCAACGATGACAATCGCACATTTGCCTTTTTTCTCAAAATATGTGTGTGTTTGCGCCGTTTACTGTTGTTGCTCAAACACGTTGTTAGTTGTACCAAAGTTACCAAAGTTTGTTGGTCAAGCATAACATGCCGTCAAGAGCAAAAAGATAAAGAAAAAAGCCGCTGATGAACAATCAAATAGAATGAGCACAAATGAGCATTTTTCTGCAGGACTGCAATTAAAGGGTGGCCAAAGCGAAAGCCATTTGACGAAAGCAAAAATGAGCAAAGCGAATTTCGCTGATGAATTGAGCCGTAATTCTTCAGCAAACTGNAAAAAAGCCGCTGATGAACAATCAAATAGAATGAGCACAAATGAGCATTTATCTGCAGGACTGCAATTAAAGAGTGGCCAGAACGAAAGCCATTTGACGAAAGCAAAAATGAGCAAGGCGAATTTCGCTGATGAATTGAGCCGTAATTCTTCAGAAAACTGCAGCAATGCCATCAAACGCACCGCACCGGCCAGTTGCTCGGGTGTTCAGTGTTGTAGAGGTGCTGACAACGACTCGTCTCGATATATGCTAATGGTGAAACGTTCAGTTGACCTTTGATTTATGCCTAGATGCACTGCTAGAACAACTACCTACTAACTTGCAGGAAAATGGCCGACAGCGAAATGGGCATTTGAAAATGGGGTAAACAGGCGGCAAAACTTGAATTGAACTGTTGCTGGTTGGAAAAAAGGAATAAAAGTCACGTTGCAAATCTGCTAATAGTCTGGCGGCGGCGCCTGTTGTTTGATGATTGTGTTTGGAGAGACGATCGTAGTCGTAACGATCAAAGGTCACTCATTTGTGACTGGACTGAACAAGAAAGAGTGTAGTGTAGTGTAGGCAAGCGGGTAACGATTTGGTGATGGTTTTGGTGGTGGCGATGATGATGATTGGCTTACCTGGTAGTGATAATGGAACACACTGCTACGGTAATCTCAATTTGACTACTGTTTTGCGGTGGTTGTTGTTGCTGGTAATGGCGACAATGATGATGATGATGGTGATTTTCTCACTGGCGGTGGTCACTGTCACCACAAAGTTAATTTTGAAAGAGTGGACACTGAGAAAGGCTACTGAAAGAAACGGGCACTAAAAAACTGCTCTGTTCTGCTCTGCTGTAGAGTAGTGCTGATCGTTTAGAGGGGAACTTGTCAATGGTCGGTGACAGTTGGTAATGATCAGGGTGATCAAGAAGAGAGAGAGAAAGAGAGAAAGAGAGAGATGACAATGATGCTCGGCTGGTGATGGCAAAAGCGAAAGTGCCTCAACTGGCAAGTTAGCGCCACAGAGTGCGGCAACGACTTGCTGACATTTCNATGGTCGGTGACAGTTGGTAATGATCAGGGTGATCAAGAAGAGAGAGAGAAAGAGAGAAAGAGAGAGATGACAATGATGCTCGGCTGGTGATGGCAAAAGCGAAAGTG